ATAGTTCAGAAATACTGCCGGCAGAAGAGGAAAAGGATTTAGGGTATTTTTCAATTCTCTCCTTGGGAAAGTAAAGGCACTGGACTAAATGTTCTCTAGGGTTCCCCTTCAGCCCCAACACTGTGATTACTTTATCACTGGCCCAGCATCTTTTGTTTTTCCTAGGAGCCTTAAGTATAGGCTCCCTCTGAAAGAGAAACAAGCTGCTTTTCTGTAGAAATCAGAGAGCCATAGAATCTTGGAAAATTCAGGTGTTTCACAACTTACATTTCCATCCAGGGCCAACTCAACAACCAGACAAAAATGTTGCCAGTGTTAGGAAACTATAATCAAATAACCCCCATGCCTATGTTTTATTGCTTCACTTTTACAAGTTTCATAAAACTTCGATCCCCCAGGTAGAAGCTAGGGGGAAGCTATGGAAGCCTGACACAAGGCCCCTTCTTTGGGGGTTGATCCCTTTACTCAGCCCACAGAACTATGCCAAAGGGGGTGTTGGATCTGAGGGCAAACTACATGTTGTGCTTCCTTCTCCCTCCTTTCTCCCTCCATTTTACAGCAGCAAACAAAGTCAGAAATTAATACCAGCTTGCTTGGAAAGCAAACAGGGGAAAGTCACAAAAAGGCAACATGCAGCCCGAGGGACATATGTAGAAGGAGGGAAAAGGCAGAAACCCCTACCACCATCTTCAAGAAATTAATGGTTGCCCATCAGTTGGGGAATTGCTGAACAGGTTGTGGTATATGATTTGGGAATACTATTGTGCTCTAAGAAATGATGAGCAGGATGCTCTCAGAAAAAACTGGAAAAACTTGCATGGGCTGATGCAAAGTGAAATGTACTGTGTTCAAAGTAACAGCAATCTTGTAAGATGATCAGCTGTGAATGACTTAGCTATTCTCAGCAATACAATGATCCAAGACAACTTTGAAGGACTTAGGATGAAAAATGCTATCCATCCCAAGAGAAAGAACTGATGGTGTCTGAATATAGATTGAAACATACTTTTCTTTTTTGCTTTCTTTATTTTTCTTGAGTTTTTTTGTCTATGTTTTCTTCCACATGACTATTATGGATATGTTTTACATGACTACACATATATAACCTATGCCTTCTCAATGAGGTGGGGTAGGGAAGGAGGAAGGGAGAGAATTTGAAACTCAAAGTTTTAAAAATGAATTAAAATTGTTTTTACACGTAACTGGGGAAAATAAAATACTAAATGAAGCATTAAAAAGACATCAAAAAAAGAAAGAAAAAAATAAAAAAGGGAAATAATAACGATAGCATCTATGTGCCAAGCATTGTGCTAAGCACTTTACAGATATTTTTTATTTGATCCTCATAACAACCTGAGAGGTAGGTGCTATTATTATCCTCATATTATAGATAAGGAAACTGAGGCAAAGAGAGGTTAATGTGACCTGCCCCAGGGTTGTAGAGCTAGTAAGTGTCTGATGCCAGTTTTGAATTCAGAGTTCCTGACTCCCAGGTGGGCACTCTGTCCACTGCACTATCTACCTGAAAAAAGCTTCAGCAAAACCAACTAATACATCCACTAAGTATGGAGAGAATATTCACACCCATAGTCCCCCAACTCTGCAAAGAGGGGAGAGAGGTGTATTTTTTCCAATTCTTTGGGGGGTTCAAGTTTAGTTATCTGCATATATGGTTTTGGCAAGGGATAAAATTTTGGATGTGTGATCAAAGGATATGAACAATCAATTCTCTAGTAGAATGGTAAATAAACTATTAACAATCAGATGAAAGAACACTCCAAGTCATTAATAATTAGAAAGACAGAAGTAGAAGAACCCCCAGAACTTTCACTGCATGTCCAGCAAATTGGCTAAGATGACAAAAGATGAGAAGAATAAATGAAACTAATGCATTATCAGTGAAGCTCTAAATTTACATAACCATTCTAGAATACAATTTGGATTTGACCCAGAGAGTCTATTTATGGTATATCTCAAGACCAGTGACAAGAAAAAAGTTCCATATGTACTAAAATAGCACTTTCTATGGTAGCAAAAAAACCTGAAAACAAAGTAGATGCCCATTCATTGGGGAATAGCTAAACAAAATGTGGTACATGAATGTAATGCACTAATTACTGTGCTACGAGAAATGATGACACAATAGACACAAAAACTACAACGATATAATGGGAAGAACAACTGTAAAATGATCAAAACTTTATGTTGTAAAATTATAAAGAACAAGATTGGTCCTAAAGGGAATATATGAGAAGAAACCTCTCTGCTCCTTACTAGAGGTAGGGATCTACGGATGTGGAACATTGCATACATCATCAGATTTCTTTGATCTGTTGATGGTTTTTACAGATTTTTTTTTTCTCTTCTCTCTCTTCAAGAAAAAAAATCTTTGCTCTAAGGTATGGATCTCTGGGAAAGGTCACAGGGGAAGAGATACAGGGGGAAATGTAGGCTAAGAAAAATAAAAGATATTGATAAAAATCTATTGAAATGAAAATTTTAAAAAGGATGTGGGGTTTTTTTGATTTCCAGTTTGGTACCTTTTAAAGATGTAAGGGACAAGGTATCATGCTCCCACAATTTAAGATAACCTTTGACATTTGACAACATCAGTAAGTTGCATTGTTCTAGCAAGCTTGCAAAATCTTGCAACAACAGGAAAACAGGAGAAGGGGCAGCCAATGAGAAAGACCCTAGTCTCTGAAAATAGACTCCAAAATTCCTGCTTTTCAGTCCAGAGGGCTTCAACCGAACCTAAGTAGGACAAAGGGCATGGGCCTCTTGAATTGCGCATGCTTAACTAGCTAATATCATAATAAGTGACACATCCCGCATAAAATTAGAGCCTCATTAACGCATCATGGGTTGTATGACAAGGCATGAGGAGGGAAGGGAGACGTGTCAAGGGATGGGCAGGTAAGGAAGATTGTAATCCGGAAAGGAACGGACCAATCGGGGCCTGGAAGGGAGGAGTCGAGGCGTTCTAACAGTATAAAGCTGTCTCTCGCTTCTGTATTGGGTGCACTCTCTTCCAAGAGGTGTGCTTGGTTCTCCCAAGAACCATAAAATAAATGGTTCTTCACTCACGCCGAGCTTAGTTTCATTTTTAACCAGAAGGCTTGATTTCTCTAAGGCCTCATTTCTAACAGAGATAAATGTGAGGAGCAGGCAGCATGGAGTAGTGGATATTGAATTGGCCTACAGGTTGTGGAAACCTCTGACGTGGACAGTGGCCTCATGCCCCTGGGAACATCGTGCAATCTTTTGGTGTTCTAGGCAGCTCTTTAAGACCATACGTTGCAGACAAAGTGCTGATCTGCACTGGTAGAGGGACTGTCTTCATTGGGAATTCCTTATACCAATGAAATCAGAGGTCCAGGCCCCATTTCATGAAGAGAAGAGGAAACGAAAAATTGCCTTGATCTCAGAACTGTCCTTACATGTGGGCAGAACAGTTAGTTGCTTTATGATTTAAGGCATGCTATAAAAATCTGAACTCAGATACTTAACTAGCTGTGTGACCCTAGGCAAGTCACTTAACTCTGCCTCAGTTTCCTCATCTGTAAAATGATCTGGAAAAGGAAGTGACAAGCCACTCCAGTATCTTTGCCAAGAAAATCCCAAAAGGAGTCAGGAAGAGTTGGACACTATTGGAAACAACTGAACAACAACAACATAAAAGATTTTATCTAATATGATCTCTCCCCCCTTCCTATTCCAATACTTAAAATGTCAACAATTAGACATTAATTTTTTTTTAACATTTTTAAAAAATGTAAATCTTCCGGGTAGAGTTAAGGGAAGTATCTTCCGCTTGCACATTAGTAGGAATTAGTTGAACCAAATTTTTGTTTTGCTAATGGGGACCTGAGATTAGATTCATTGAAGGAATAGGAGTTTTAACTGGTAGAGCTAGAGAGAAAGGCAGTTTAGGAAACCATGGAGAGAAAAGAAATCTGAGTCCTACACAGCTGGAAAACCCTTTCAATAAAGAGCTGAACTTAAAGTAGGAAAACATGGATTTTAATCCAGTTCTGCTGCGCTCTACCTGTGTGATCTTAGGTAAGTAATTTAACCTCTCAAGGCCTCATTTTCCTCACAAAGAACTTGGCCTACATGACCTCTAATATCCTCGTTAGAGCTGGACCCATGAATTTATAAGTAAGTATATGGTGTTAGGAACTAAGAGAGGGGCACAGAAAGAGAGCACTGGGTTCCAAGACACACTTTGTTTGCTACAATATCTCACCAGGGGTCATCCTTGTTCAGCCTGGCATTGAAAATGTAGGCGATCAGATTCTAATCTCCTTTTTAAACTCCCAACTTTGAAACATAAAGTATTTTCTCCAGTTCCAAAGACCAAAGTCATCCTATACAAACACAGGATATCAGGTTCACACATGTATCAGTCCAGGTCCCCAAGTGGTAAAATGGATCACGCAAAGCCCCAGAATTCAGTCTTTTTTATACTAAAAACATATTCCAATGTCTTCAGGTAAAAGATGAAAATAGGTAAGGCAAGTAGGTCCCACGGGGTCTACAGAGCTTTCCACTGAAGGCTTAAAAATTGTTTTTATATTCTTCTTCCCCAAAGAGCCAAAAGATAGGTCATAGATCAATCCACCTGAGGGCAAAGTAAACAGAAACTGCCCACATCTGTGCTACAACTTGCTTGCTGGAAACAATGGGGTGTGTGTGTGTATGTGTAGAGGGAAACCCTGGCCCACGATAACATACCAGAACCAGAACAGGCCAACATGTAATAATAATACATTTTATATTGTAATATAATATATAATATCATATTTTAATAGAATTTTATACACTTTTATACAATTTATTTAATATTTGTATTATTATAACATATAAATTATATAAATTTATTTTATATTATTTATATGTATTTATTTGTATATGTTACCCAAAAATATTTTACATTGTAATATGATATAATACAATACAATGTAATAATGATAATAATACATTTTAATAAGACTCACCGTGAGGGGCTCATTTTCAGGATCAACTGCCTCCATCTGGTAAATGGGTCTAGGGCTTATTCCTTCCAAAATATAGAGCTCTACAGCTACATAGGAGTTCAAAGTATAATAACATTTAAAGATATAAAGCAAGTATGTTATTCTGATGCACTTAAGAAACACAAATAAGAAACCAAAGTTTCCCAAGTATGGCCTAATTTATCAAACCTGAGGAATCAGGATGTAATTAGAAACAAGTAGACAGGCAGACTGACTTATTGGGCTGAATCTTGAGTCAGGAGGACCCAGGTTTCAACTCCCTTTGCTGTGTGACTTTGAGCAAGTCATTTAATTTCTGTGCACCTCAGACAACTCTACTAAATTGAAGAAGGGTTACAATCTAAATCCATCAGTTGACTGAGCTCCCAAACCAACAAAATGTTGACATACGAAGAAACACCCTATTTACAGGGTGCCTTCAAACAAATTATAGGGAACCATACATTCGGCTCAGAAGGCTTTTCAGAGCTGGTGTACTAAATTCTCATTCTCTCAGTGTTCCAGCAGGGACTGAGGGAAGGTAAAAATCACTAGGTCACCCTTAGAAACTCTTTGGCGTGAGGTTTTCCTGTCTCCAAAAATCCTATTTTAACGTGTTAAAAATACCCTTGGGAGTTCTTATACCTTAAATGGTTTTGCTGCTAATTTGTGAATTTTTTTTTAACATTGTAAGAAGAAGTAGCTAAGAGCCAGTTGACTGGAAGACTGAACTCATGTCTGGAGTGGGAAAAGGGCCTTGTGAAAAAGGAAAAGAGGTTAGTTTTGAGGGGAAAGATGGGAAGATGGCCAAGGAATACTTCAAAATTGGACCTGACTACTACACTCTGTCCACTGCTTCTTTGGGTAAGTCAGTCGTTTGTTTTTTTACCACCCAAGTATAAAGAAAGGGGAGAGGGATTGATGACTAGAAAGATGTAGTTGTTCCTTTATTTTTCTGTCCTTTACTTTCTGTCTGGAGTAGCCTTCTCCACTGAAAACATCTGTTTGTTTAATCATTTTTATCTGTCTCCCAGAATCCCAAACACTATTTTTCATTCTACGTCACAGATACACCATATCTTACTTCCTTTTGCCAAGTTGTCTAGAAACAGAGGAGGCTCATTAACATCTTTTAACTGGACAGTCAAGAGTCCTAGGTCCATTGCACCAGCTTCATCTTTAACATAAACCTGCAATTGAAACCTCTTTGGCATTGTTTCAAAATCAAGTGGAGGGTTCCCAGTGGTGACTACCTGAAAAACAAAATAAAGGTTATTAGTGGGACAGTGAAAAGAAGGGAGGTTTAGATATAGATTTGAAATGGGATCTTTTCAAGGAATCAATAATGAATGGTTTGTGAATGATCTTTTCCTTGGCAGTCAAAGGGCCTAGACTTAATTAGCATTATCCATTTCAAACACCCCTAACTGAAAGAACATTAGTACTTAAATAGGCTGACCACAAAGGCACATAGTGACATAAACTTTTGAGAGACTGTTACAGCATAGCAGATAAGTGGATAGAGAGTCAGGGTCACATATAAGACCTAGGCTCATGTCCCACACAGATGAGTGACCTTGGGCAAATCACTCAACCTCTCCTTAGAGGCAGTAAAGTGGCTCAATGGATACTTCACTGGGCCTGAAGTCCAGAAGACCTGAGTTGAAATGTGACCTCAGACACTTACTAGCCTGCACAAATCATTTAACTTTTACCTGCTTCAGTTTCCTCCACTGTAAAATGGGGATAATAATAGTGCCTACCTCCCAGGGTTATTATGAGGATCAAACAAGATAATATTTGTAAAGTGCTTAGCACAGTACCTGGTATATAACAAGTGCTTAATAAATGCTTGTTTCTCCCCCGCCCCCTCTACTCCAGACAATTCTTTAAGACTAAAAGTTGCAGAATAGGTGCTAACCTGCATTGGGAGAGGGAGTTTCCTCCCTGGGATTTCCCTATACCAATGAAATCACAGGTATGATTCCTCTTTGTCCCTGCCCCCACCCCCAAATAGCATCATAGAGTAAGTGCCACATTGGACAGCTAAAGGTTGTGAGTTTAAACACTGTGAAAAAGTAATTTATCTTCCCTGAAATTACCTTAATTTTCTTGTCTGTAAGACTAAAATGGATACACAATTGAATAGGAGGTGGTGGAAAGTGGCCTGGATTGTGTCTGGAAAATGGTCCAATACTTTCAACCATCTAAAGATGCTCCTTCATAGGTGACACTAACACCAGCTCTCTCTTAGTTTGGGTTCAATATTGGCCTGAAATGAGGCACTCACAAGCTATTGAACAGTTAACAATGGGAAGTTTACTTTGCCTTAACACAGCTCGGATATGCACTAACATCCAGTGGGACTTAGTTTCTCTGGATGTGGTCCATGGAAATGTAGCTGGTCATCAGTGTGGGCTATGGTGAAGAGCATTTTTTTTAAAGCATAGAGCTAAAAAAAATGTCATTGTTATTATTATTATTAAACATTTGCAGGAAATGATACAGAAATACAAAAGAAATAGATCTAAGGCCCCTCTCTTTGAGAAGCTTATACTCTATTTGGGGAGGAAAAATATGCCTACATGAAACAAATAAAGAACCACATAACCAGGAGCTGGATTGTCAATGTAGTGTAGACTTGCTGGGGTTGTTCAAGTCATCCAGTCATGGCTGACTTTTGTGACCACATGCACTATTTTTTTCCATGGGGTTTTCTTGGCAAAGATACTGGAGTGGTTTGCCATTTCCTTCTCACGTGGATCACCCCCTTTTTTGTCAGAGCTGTCCACTATGACTTGTCCGTCTTGGGTAACCCTGCACAGTAACCTCATAATTTCATTGAGCTATCCAAGTTCCTCCATCACAACAAGGCAGTCATCCAGGAAGGACTTTTTTTTTTTTAGGCAAACAGGGGTTGGTGACTTGCCTAGGGTCACACAGCTAGTAAGTATCTGTGGCTGGATTTAAACCCAGGTCTTCCTGTCTCCAGGACCAGTGATCTAACCACTTCACCACCTAGCTGCCCCCAGCTGCTAGTGGTGTAGACTAGAAGACTATACAAATTCAGAAAATAAAAAGTCCACTGTAGCTGAGGTTAGTCAAGGCTTCATAGGGGAGATGAACTTTGACCCTGGCGTTGAAGAAAGTGTAACATCCTTAAGATTTGGTTACCGTAAGAGCTAAGGCGCAAAGGTGGAAATGAGCATGGAGTGCTGGGAAGGAAGGATTAATTGGACTGAAGTATTGAATTGAAAAAAAAATGGGACCTGATTCATTCCTTGAAGGAAAAATGTCACAGATATAGAATGGCCTGAGCAAAACCACAATAATAGGAGAGGGCAGAAGAGAAAAGGAACCCATGAGTAGTTCAGTTTAGATAGCACACTGATTTCATCAGAAGAGGAAACAGGATGTCACAAAGCAGACTGTCAAAGGCATTGAATACTAGGCTAATAACTTTATTCAGCAGAAAATGAATCATTGAAGAGTAAGAGAGTGATGTGATCAGGTCAGTGCAGGACAGTACAGGACAAGACAGGACAGGAAAAACACTTTAGCTTTGGGATGAAAGATGGATTGGAATGGAGAGAAATTGGAAAGAAGCCAATAGATTCTTAGGATTCAAAATAACCTCTGAGGTTATGTAGTCCAAACCATACCTAATTAAGAGTTTTTTCTACATCATCCTTAACAAGTAGTTAGCCAGCTTGAAGCTCTCCAGTGAAGCTCATTCCCCTCTTAGAGAGCTCTGATTGTTAAGAAGTTGTTTTTTTTTTTCTCATGTTAGGCCAAATAACTACCACTGTTCCTAGTTCAATGATCTGGCACTAAGCAAAACAAGTTCTCTTCAACAGGTGTCATGGCTCTCCTAAGTCTTTTTTTTTTTTTTAAGTTTGATCAAGTCAATGAGTTTGAGTTGAATGCTTGCTATGTGCCAGGCACTATGCTAAATGCTGGGAATGGAGATATAAGCAGAAAGAAAGCTAGCCTCTGCCCTCAAGGATCTTACATTCTAATGGGGAAAGAAATTTCATAAAAGGGAGCTGGAAAGATGATGAGAGGGAGGACTGGTACAGAGGCATGATAGAGAAAGTCTGGAGCCAGAAGTGGAGCCTGAAGAGTAGGAAGACATGGCTGGCTTGGGCCTTTTCCTTAAAATGCGGGTTCTAGGAAGAACCAGCAAATCAGAGGAAGTGGAGAGCACTTCCATCGGCAGAAGACCAGGGTTACACTCCTACTTAGGCTAAGCCAAACATCCCCATTTCTTCCGTCCAATGGCCGTATGATGTGTTTCCTAGTCTCCTCGTTCTCCACGGCACCCGCCACCGGACTCATTCCAATTTCGTCAATGTTCCTAAGTTGCAACCCCTCCCCCACAGAACTGAGCACAGCAGTCCAGATGTAAACCAAGCAGGACGGGAGGGTTTTACCTCTCTTGTTGTGACTGATGTTGTTTGTCCTTCTGAACACTGAGCTTCAATGATTGAAGCCCAGCTGTTATCTGTTATTTTGTTTTGTTTTGTTTGTGAGGCAATCAGGGTTAAGCGACTTGCCCAGAGTCACACAGCTAGTAAGTATCTAAGGGCAGATTTGAACTCAGGTCCTCCTGACTCCAAGGCTGGAGCTCTACCCACTGTGCCACCTAGCTGCCTCTGTTATCTGTTATTTGATACTGTTTGTTCACCTTGAGCTTTCAATCCACAGCTTCCTCCGTCCCCCATGAACTATTGACTAGCTGTATCTTCCCTAAGTTGAAATTCATGCAGTTGATATGTTTTAGACGTATATAAGAATTTATATTTCATAGGATCATAGATTTAGATATTGAATGGACCTTAGAGATGATCAAGTTCAATGGCCTAATTTTACAGATGAGAAGACTGAAGCACAGAAACAGTAAGTGACTTGTCCAAGGCCACACAGCTAAGTAAGTGTCTGAGGCAAGATTTGAACACTGACCTTCCTGACTCCATGTCCAGCATTTGATCCAACATGCTACCTGTCTATTAAATTTCATCTAAGCAGATTTGGTCCATGGTTCTAACCTTGTGATTCTATCAGGATCCCAATTCAGTAGAAATAGTTAGACATGGTGGTGCAGGCCTGTCACCCCAGCTATCAGGGAGACTGAGGCTGGCAGTTCTCCTGAGCTCAGGAGTTCTGAGCTGCAGTGGGCTAAACTGATCAGGTGTCTGCATGAAGTTCGGTATTAATATGGCGAGTCCTCTGGGAACTGAAAATGACTCAGTTGCTTAGGGAGGGGCAAGAGGTCGGAAACAAAATAGATCAAAGCTCCCATGCTGATCAGAGTAGGATCAGGCCCATGAGTAGCACCTGGAAGAGATAGGGAGACCTAGTCTTAAAAAAAAAAAGCAAGAAAGGGAAGATAGAAGGAAGGGAGGGAGGAAGAAAGGGAGGGAGGAAAAAAGGAAGAAAGAAAATGAAAGAAGAAAAAGAAAAAAAGAAGGAAGGAAGGAAAGAAGAGAGGGAGGAAGGGAGAAAGGAAGGAAGAAAAAAGAATGGGGGGGAGAGGGAAGGAGGGAAAAAGGAAGAAATAGAGAGGCTAGGGGGAAGGACAAGTTTTGTAGAGGTGATGGGTTCGGGTCTGCATGTGTCGTTTGATGTTCCAAATGGGCAGTTAGATGGCGATCTCCTAACCGCAGTTAGAGGTTCAGTAATATAGCTCTAGTGAGAACTCTGGGGCAACTGGGTGGTACAGTGGATAGAGTACTGGGCCTGGAGTCAGGAAGACCTAAGTTAAAATCCTGCCTAAGACACTTATTAGCTGTGTGACCTTGGGCAAGTCACTTAATCCTGTTTACCTCAGTTTCCCCATTTGTAAAATGAGCTGGAGAAGGAAATGGGAAACCACTCCAGTATCTTTGCCAAGAAAACCCCAAAAAATGGATCACAAAGAGTCGGACATGACTGAAAAAAATGACTGAACAGCAAAAGCAGAAAAGTGACATAATAAACAACCAAGAAATGGTCTGCATAATATCTGGAGAAGATGAAGCTAGAGGCAAGAAGGTCAGTAGCAGTCCAGGGAGGAGGTGATGAGGCATGATGGCACTGGGAGGTGAGATGAAATAGCTCTGAGAGATATTACCCACAAAAACATCAATAGGACTGAATATAGAGGGTTGAAAGGAGAAATCAAAGATGATCTCAAGGATTTGCACCTGGAAGACCTGAGGAATGAATGGTGTTGCAAATGGTAGAAAGGCAGAAGTTGAGAAAGGGAGATGATTTCAGAAGGAAGATAGCTCATTTGGATTTAGGCATGTTGGGTTTGAGCTTGCCCTGCACCATGCCAAACAGCCAGAAACTCCACATACCATGGCAAGGTAGACCTTGGGGACTCAGGCAAAGAACTAGGTGATAGGCGATACCAGATCCAGGGTCAGGAGAGGCCATGTGATGTACTTGAAAGAACCCTAGATTTGTTTTTTTTGTCTTTTTTTCTTTTTCTTTTTTCTTTTTTTTTTTGATGAGGCAGTTGGGGTTAAGTGACTTGCCCAAGGTCACACAGCTAGTAAGTGTGAAGCATCTGAGGCCAGATTTGAACTCAGGTCCTCCTGACTCCAAGGCCCGAGCTTTATCCACTGCGCCACCTGAAAAATCCAGATGATTTTATTTTCAATACTGACCTCACAGAGCTATTGTGATGGAAACACTGTGAACTGCTGGATAAGAATGAGCTAGAGCTAAAATGAGCAAACCTATCATTATAGGTTTTTGACATCTATCTCCATGGGAGACATTAGTTACTGCAGAACTACATTTTCTATTTCAGCTGGAAATTTAAAAAGCAGACTAGTACCCTGGCTTAAGGGGAAATGGCAACTTTGGGAATCACTCAGAAGAAATGGAAAGCTAAATAACTGTAAGCAGATGTGACTGTCCCTCTTAAAAGTGAATGTTTATTATACTTGGTTTATCTATTCTAAAGGGAAAATATTTATGTAGTCGGAACCTAGGCGCCTATATATTTAGAGTTCTTTGATGTGGCATTTCGTTATTAGTGACATGTGCTTTCGATAGAAAACAAGTCTTCCTGGTATGAGATGAAACCAAGTGAATTGAGCAGTACCAGGAGAAAAATTTATATAATAACGTCAACATTATAAAGACAAATGACTTTGAAAGACAGAAGAATTCTGATCAATGCAATGACTGACCATAATTCCAGAGAATTGGTGATGAAATAGGTTACCAACCTCCTGATAGAGAAGTGAAGGGCTAAAGAGGCAGAATGACATATACATTTTTTGATATGGTCAATGAGGGAATTGGTTTTGCTTGGCTAGATATACGTGCATGCTTACATACACATATATGCATATATATATATATATATATATATAAATGCAAGGGTCTTTTTTTCTTTTTTTTAATTGAGGGGTTGAGATTAAAAAATAAAATTCCAAAAATATAGAAAAGTCTTTGTCACTTTGTGAAACCACAATGAAAAAATGAACCACGGGGCAGCTAGGTGGCACAGTGAATAGAGCACCGGCCCTGAAGTCAGGAGGACCTGAGTTCAAATCCTCAGTCCAAACACTTGACACTTACCAGCTGTGTGACCCTGGGCAAGTCACTTAACCCCAATTGCCTAAAATAAATAAATAAATAAAACAAAACTCAACATGTCCAAAATTATTAAAAAAAAAAAAAAGAACCACACAATCAGAATAAGAGCTGGCAAGGAACTTGAGTGATCATCTGAGCTACAGGAAGGTCTAAACTGTCCACAGCAAATAACTCTGCCATCTTACCTGCTATCAGTTTTCAGGAAGGTCTACCCATAGCAAACAATCCTACCATCTCACCTGCTATCCTAACACCTCCCATGGGATAATCACAATGACTCCTTCTACAGTACTTTATGGTTTACAAAGCACTTTCCTCCAGTCACAATTTAAGCTATATAATGAGAGTATTATCATCTCTGTTTTATAGAAAAGGAAGATGAGATTCAGAGAGATTGTGTTTTGCCAAAGGTCATATAATAAGTGATTGAACCAGGAATCTAACCAAGGGCTCCAGATTCAGTGTGGTACAATGGAAAGAGCATCAGCTCTGAAGTAAAAGGATCTGGGTTCAAATTCTGCTTCTTGACACATGTGACCATGAGCTAATCACTTAATATCCCTTGGTCTCAGCCTTCAACTCTAAAACAAGGAAGTTGAACTCAACTTTTAAGTTCTTCCAGCTCTAGTCTCTGTGACTCCACACCCAAATTGTTTCCACTCCACCGTGCCAGGTGCTATCAGTAATAAGTCATATCTGGCAAAGAGGTTGGTCGTTGGTCTTCAGAGGGATGGACTTGAGGAAAAAGAGAGAGTGCTATCAAATGTATGGTCAATGAGTCTCTGGTGCAAAGTGCTCCAGATGCACATGTAATGTGACATCTCTACCAGAGCACTCTCTCCAGAGACTCTTATGACTACAAACAAAATTCCTAGAGCCCCTGAAGAAAAACACTGCCTGAAAGGATGATAAGGAGAAGAGTTGTGAGAGGAATAAACTTTCCTTTATCAAGAATTCAACCCAAGTCTTGTCATCGGTAACAAATTTTCCTGTGCAACAGAAAATCCAAACCAAACCATCTGCCCCTTGATGAGCTAGGAGAGTTGAGGAGACTTACTTCAAAGCTTTTCTCTGATAATCCATTAATACAGAAAGCTTGAGTCAGAGGACTTGAATTTACTATCAAAGGAAACCCAAAGCTCACAGGCGATGCTGATGGTGATAAGGTCACATTAAAGCTGTAGACTCTAGTGCCAGGTGAAACATTCTCTCCGACAAAGCAGCTCGCTGGAAACTGGTTTAGTTGTAGACAATCTCCCCCTAAAAATTGAGAACAAATATAAAATAATAAACAGCATAGGTATAGTGCTTTCAAATGTGCAAAGGTTTTCATTTTAGAGTCACAACCATTAGGTACTTAGAAGTGTTATTTTCATCCCCATTTTTCAGATGAAAAAACTAAGGGGTTCAGTGACTTGCCCAGGATAACATAGCTAGTGTCAGGGATAAGATTTAGAGCTAAAAGGAGCCACTGAGGCCATTTAGTACAATCCCTTCATTTTCCAGCTGAGGAAGCTGTGGCTATGAAATATGTGACTTGCCCATGGTCACATCACACACTAAAATCACATTTGAGCACAGGACTTCCTGTCCTGAGTCTAATACACTCCCTAATACTTTAGTTACATTGCTATGCTGCTTCAGAATACGAAGCATTCTGTTAAGAGTCTGGTGGCTTGGAGTTGTAATCAGACTTTAATTTGTTTTGTCATCTTCCCTGTCCGAAAAGGTAAAAGCTAAGACTTTCTGATGTCCCCAAAATTGTTTTTATGGTAGGAACTGCTTCTTCATAATTCTGACTTAAGACACTTTCTGGCTGTGTGATTTTGGACAAGTAATTTAATCTCTCTGGACCTTGTTTTCCTGTAAAATGAAGATGTTGAACTAGCAAGATGATTGCTTAGACCCCTTCTGGCTCTTTTCCCCTTCTTTTCCTTCCCCTCATATTAAGCCAAAAGCAGTAATACACAGTTTCTGAAAAGATGGCCACTAATGCATCATTGGTGGATTTGTGAACTGATCCAACCATTCTGGAAAGCAGTTTGGAACTATGCCCCAAAGGCAACCAAACTGTCCATAACCTTTGATCCAGCAATACCACTACTAGGTCGATATCCCAAAGAGATCATAAAAAAGGGGAAAGAACCTACATGTACAAATATATTTATAGCAGCCCTTTTCATGGTGGTAAAATATTGGAAATTATGGGAATACCTGTCAATTGGGGAATGGCTGAACAAGGTGTAGTATATAAATATAATGAACTGATGCAAAGTGAAATGAGCAGGACCAGGAAAACATTGTATGCTGTAACAGCAGCATTTTGTGATGATCAACTTCTCAGCAACACAACGATCCAAGACAAGTACAAAGGACTCATGAAGAAAAATGCTATTCACATCCAGATAAAGAACTGATGGACTCTGAATGCAGACTGAAGCATACTTTTCCAGTTACTTTATTCTTTATTGTGTTTTTTTTCTTTTGATCTGTTTCTTCTTTCACAATTAATATGGAAATATATTCTACATGATAGAACATGTACAACCTATATCAAATTGCCTACCATTTTAGGAAGAGGAGAGAGGAAGGAGAAAAATCTGGAACTGAAAATCTTGTAAAAATGAATGCTAAAAATTGTCTTGACATGTAATTGGGGAAAAAAATAAAATACTATTAAAAATAAATTTGGGGCAAATCATTTCACTTTTCCTAGGCCTCAGTTTCTTCATCCATAAAATAAAGGGCTAGAAAAGAGATTTAGAAGCAAACTTTCCTCTTTTCCTTGTAGAAGTGGGAGACTATGGGTACAGGGTGTTGCATGCAATGTCAGACATGATCTTTGCTTTGGTTTTGCTCAAGTGTTTTTCTCTGGGAGTGGGTGTTATGTCCAAAAATGACTCTTACATAAGAACAAAAGTTATCAATAAAACTTAAAAAATGAAATAAAGCCAGGGGTTGAACGAGATTATCAATAATGTCCTTTCCAGCTTTAAATCCTTGGATCCTATGAAATTACAACCTACAGATTACCTGGTATTTCTGTTGCTTAAAGGAGTCAATTTCCTTCCTGCTTATGAACACTTTTGTCACAAAGAAAATGCTTTACTCCTTGGGATTATTTGAGGATTAGACCTGTAATTATAGTCGGTCCTTGATTTATTCATGCTTGATTCACATATGTTTCTTACATCAAGAACAGCTGGCATAGCCAGGTGGTTGGTTGTAGGAAGTCCCTTTCTTTCATGATGCATGTGCCTCTCAGGATTGCCCTCTACTTCTACTGATCTCTATGGTCACTTCCAAGATTTTATGCCTTAATGATTCCCCTTCTCTTTTTCCATGGCTGACCCCATTTTTGCTTGGAACCCCCCTTGCCCAGCCCTGGATCTCACTTCTCACCTCCTTGAGAGGTCCAAGGTGAGATCTGCAGTGGCAAAATGATAAGTACAAAGGAAAGGGGAGGGAAGATGGATTTCAGAGGCAGCTCCTCCCTCCCTCTCCTTTAATGCAGGTCTTATAGGTAGGATCATTAACCCCCTTCTTATCTCCTCATTTATCCCCACATAGTACTATTTCTATGCTTCTTCCTCTCTCCAAAGTCAAAGTATGCAGGGTGGTCATTGGTCAAAAAAGGAAAAAGAACCCTGGTTCCACCCAAACTGCAGATGACTCTAACTTCAGTATTTAGTGTACCTAAAAACCCACCATTATTACTTGTGTGAGACCCATTAAAGAAAAATGAGTTGATTTAAGAATCGACAGGATTTACACTGGTCTCGGACAAATTAGCTTCTATGGTTATATTTTAAACATATTATGGGTAAATTTGTGGGCTAAATTGGGGACCTACTCATTACAGTTAGCATTGCTCCCAAGAGAAAATGCATTCCCAGACCCATGCAACCAACTTATAAATGTAGTTTTGAAATGTATCACATTTACAAACTGGTTCCTGTACAGAGAGATTGATATGCATGTCCATAGTACAGTATTTTGCCATAATATTTGAGAGTCATTGAGTTGATCTTAACTTTGCCTCCTAGAGGTAAATCCGAGATGTCCAACAACTATATATTTATTGATTAATTGACTGAACTCATTCATTTTCAACAAAATAGTAAGTAAGGGGGAGCTCTATCACTTGCCTCAAGTTGTATTTCATATGAGGGGCGGCAGTGTGATGTGATTAGAATAGTGATACATTTGGAGTCACAGGAGCTAAAAATATGAATCTGTGAATTGCCACTTCATCTCAGTGGATAAGTCACTTGATCTCTCTGGACCTCAGGCAACTCATCTATAAAATGAGGGAGTTGGTCTCATTCATTTCTAGATCTAAGAAAGTCTGGGAAACCTTGAGACAAAGGCCAACAAGGGCAGGTGCTTTGCTCAAAGATATGAATCCCAATGTAACTTCAGGTATTGTGGTAGAGTTGTTACAATGTCTCTCAAATCACAACATGATCACTACATTTTTGTCTATGCATAAAGCTACTCCTGGATGACATTGAGTTGGTTGGTTGGTTTTTGTCTTTCATTCTCGAAGAAGACCAAAATGACATCACTATGTTGGAGTCAAGTTACATTGTGTCTGACTGCCTGATCAGACCAATATGAGCTTAGAATGCTCTACCAGAAGTCGGGCACATATAGTTCATATGAACATTTGGGGTAGAGAATGACTTTGAAGAGGAAAAAGAAAAGGGCTCCCTCTTAGCCACAATCTCCCAAAGGTCCAAGAGAAATCCTAATCCTTCTCTCAATGCAGTTAGGGTGTCATTAGGTGTGACCATTCTCTTGTCGCCTACATAACATGTACAATAGCTGTTCTTGTCCATCCTTCATTTTCCACTATGGGGGATGTCTTGACTTGCCCGTGAACTGGATTTAAGCGAGGAAGGGTTGTGCAAAGTTGTCAACCAAACTTAAAGACCAACAGCTGGACTCCAAACTTACAGTCTTACAAATTCAGAGTTTTGTCTTCTGAGACTCTCCATTCACTTGGAATGAGGAAATGTAATGACAACAAAGGGAGTTTTGCAGTTCAGGCCCAGAACTACAGCATCATAAGGAAATATGATATGGCTAGCATGTCACCATCATAAAAAAAAAAAAACCCAGGCAGAGGAGTTGTGAGTCAAACCGTCATTTCACTGAAATCCATTATCATCCTTCCTCATATTTTCTTCCTGACTTGATGTTGACTTCCTAGGTGTTATTACACTACTACAAACTCCCTTTCTTTTCTGTTAATGAACCCTTTGGATTTAATTATCCCATTATGGCTTGATCTATAAGGACATTCTGTTTGCTATCTCTGTTTAATACTTGGACCACACTTTCATTTACCAAGGTTATTTCCCTTGAGGCAGCTGGGTGGTGCAGTGGATAGAGTACTGGGCCTGAGGTCAGAAAGGCCTGAGTTCAAACCTGGCATCAGACACTAGCTGTGGGACCTGCACAAATCACTTAACATCTCTCTGCCTCAGTTTCCTCAATGGTAAGATGAAAATATTAACAGCACTTACCTTGCAGTGTTGTTGTAAGGATCAAATGAGATAATATTTGTAAAGTGCTTAGCACAGTGCCTGGCATGCGGTAGGTGCTAAATAAATGCTTATTCCCTTGCTCCCCTTGAGCCCTATTGATTGCCTCTAACCACCAGCATCTGTCAATATCTTCCACCACAGAGGGCAGGGATTTGACAGGATAGAATATATAAAAAGACTGGTTCACATATACTCCATTTTCATACTCATATCTTGGGCTCTCCAATTCCTTGATCATGAAATGTTAAAAATGAAAGCGACCTTAGAGATCATTTAGTCAAACTTCCTCCTTTTATAGATGGTGAATCTGAAGCCCAGTAGGGAAGTGAGTGACCCAAGGACACACAGCTAGTTAGCAAGAGAAATGGGCTGGAACGGAGGTCTCTTGACTCTCAGCTCAACATGCCTCACTATACCGCCAACTTTTCTATCAGAGCGTTCTCCCAAACTTTGGTGGTCTGTGAGACAAGAGAGCAAGAGAGAGACAGACTTTAATGGAATTTGACTTACAAATGCATCTTAATTAAGATTCAAATTAGAATTACTTGAAGCATACCCAAAAAAAAGAAATAATATGTAAAAGATTTATTATCAATCACTGGACTCACTGAAACATCTCCTCAATTGTGATTAAGATCTGGATGGATGATGTGTCTATCTTGTTTCCCTTGTATTAGGCCCATTCCAGTAATTTACAAATAGGGACGTCTCACTTAAAGCTAGTGTTGTAGAATAAATTAGGCCTTAATAGCCACAGCTGTGGAATCATCCTTAAGGTTCTCTTCAAAAATTTCTTACTAGGATGCTTATCATCCATATACTACAGACACGGAATATGATTTCATAAATATACGATGGAATCTTTTTTCCCCTCCCTGACTGGTAGGTTCAGAAGATAAAACCTTTAGCTCTGACCTCAGGTACTAATACAGTACTGCTCAGAGGCGGAGCTCACCGAGTATTTGCTAACTCTCTCTGGCAACATAGGAATGATCTAAAATTATGTTTTCAAATACACTTTCCAGGGAAAAATATAATTAATGAACTACAGTATCCTATATATACAGAAACTCTACCTAGAGGTCTTGGTGCCATGGTAAAGTAACTAACACAGAGCCCATATATCATCTACCTAATATTTAGTATACATGACACTCATAACTCAGGTGTTTAGATTCAATTAAACACTTACTGAGGGTTAAACCTTATTCTTTGCTGGACATAGAAAGATGGACTATGTCTTACCTGTGGTTCTAAGAAGTTGTAGCATGTTCAGTGGCCACACTCCAGTAAACCATCTCAGCAGATGGGTTAAACCAGGTTGAGGCCTCAAACCTGTCAATGAGTTGGGAAATGTCTACCCCAAGCATGTGAAGACTTTCCCCAGCAGAATGGGTAGATGAGAACAATTTGTTCCAATGGCCATGAAGGTAGCTGAAGCAGGAGCTGTGGAGTACTTAAAGCTAGTCAGACATCAAAGCCACCAAGGTTATCCACTGCATCCTGGGCCATCATCAGTCATCTTGACTTTTGTCCTGCCACTGGACTTCAATGACTCAGGAAGAAAAAGTGAGTCTATTGACTTTGTGCAAAATTGCCTCACTTAAATACAATTCACATACAAGTCAGGACATCACCAGCAATGTCATTGGTCCTCTTTGAAACAAAGGATTAACAACAACAGAGGGATGGACTAGATCAGTGGTCTTCAAAGTGGGGACTAGGCCTTCTGGAGAGCCATGGCCTAAGAGGGCTGTGAATTGATCCCAAGGAGTTTATGATCAATTATTTGGGAGAGTGGGAAGATGGGTCACACCTTCCTCAAAATGTCTTGTCTCAAACACAACTTCATTTATCCTCATCTACTCCAAGTCACCTTCTCCTTCCCCATGCAAGATCCCAGTGTATTTACACCAGTAAGAGCCCTGTTTCCCTTCTTTTGTGTTTTGCATGGTGGGGCACAGGGAGTCACACAGGATGAACAGGCATGGGTCTGTATTGCAGAACTCATTAAATTATCTTTTCTCTGAGATCCTTGGGTCCCATAGACATCTCAAACTCAACATGTCCAAAACAGACCTCATTAATTGTTCCCTCCCCATACCCATCCCTCTTCCAAACTTTCTCATAGCTGTAGAGAGTACCATCAGCCTTCCAGTCTCCCAGGCTAGGAATTTGCCACCTTGGTTTTGTCCTGGACTCCTTGGTCGCCCATATAGCCTCTTGTCATTTCTACCTTTGTAACACCTCCCACATCCATACCCTTCTTTCCACTCACAGAGACGCCACCCTAGCTCTGGCCTTAAGCCCATTTCCCCTGGACTATTCGCAATAACCTCTTAACGGGGCTTCCAGCCTCAAGTTTCTTTCCTCCCTAAATCATCCTCCACACAGCTGTCAAAGAGATTTTTCTTAAGCACTTGGTCTGACATTGTCACTCCTTTCATTGGGAAACTCCAGGAATCCCTTTTTGATTGCGGGATCAAATATTTTACCTTTAACTCATCCTTTTAAAATTTCTATTTCTGGCATAATTTTTAAGTTTAAGGCCTGAACTTGTAATTTCACCAATATAGGGAACCCAGATAAGGAAACACTCTCCACCATCGCAGACTTATATTCTTAGACAGCTGCTTATAGTTAAGTGCTTTGCTCACAGTCAGAATTCAACAGAATTCAAATCTGGCCTGAGATACCTAGTGGGTATGTGACCCTGGGCAAGTCACTCAGCCTCAGTTTCCTTATCTATAATGTTGGGAGATAGCAGCACTTGTCTTCCAGGTTATAACAATGAAATGAGATATTATTGTAAAGTGCTTTGCAAACATTAACACACTATATAAATGTTTTGTTGTCATTGTTGTTTAGTTGATTAGTTGTATCTGACTCTTCATGACCCTATTTGGGTTTGTTTGTTTTATTTGACAAAGATACTAGAGTGGTTTACCATTTCCTTCTCCAACTCATTTTGCAGATGAAGAAACTGAGGCAAACAGGATTAAGTGACTTGCCCAGGGTCACACAGCTGGCAAGTATCTGAGATAGAATTTGAACTCAGGTCCTCCTGACTCCAGGACTGGTACTCTATCCACTTTGCCACCTAGCTGGCCTATGTAAATGCTACCTATTATTATTTGACCAAGCTCTTTCTACTTCTAAATTCCAGATGCTATTCCCTACACCATAATCCTCTCACAGGGCAGCTAGGTGGCCCAGTGGATAGAGCACCAGCCCTGAAGTCAGGAGGACCTGAGTTCAAATCCGGTCTCAGACCAAACACTTGACACTTACTAGCTGTGTGACCCTGGGCAAGTCACTTAACCCTAATTGCCTAAAAAAACCAAAAAAACAAACAAACAAACAAACATAATCCTCTCACATACTCTTCTCCAATCTGGAAAATATTTAATAAATACTTACTTTGTACAAGGCATTATACTGAGCACTGGAGATATAAAGATAAAAGCAAAGAACAGTCCCCTTTTGAGGAGCTTACATTCTCCTGGATCTGTTGAATTGAATGGGTTGAAGAATTTCAGAATCTTCTGAAAGAATGGACTTACAAAACCATGAAGAAATGTAGACTCAGAGACCTAGACGTAGAAGGGACCTTGGAGGTCATCTAGTCCAACCCCTAACTGAGGTCTCAACTCCTTCATCATGCCCAAGCGAAAATCACAAAAGTGTCTTTTTTTCCCTCAAGTCCTTTTAAGAACTTCATCTGCAGCCCAATGAAAACGGTAGGAGAAATATAAGCAAAGCTGAGGCAAACTCAACAAATTGGTGTGGCTTCTTAGAGAAGACCAAGGCTTTTTTTTTCTTTCTGTTTGGGAGAAGTGAGTGGGAGGGATTAGGAATAGGGAAAGTGTAGCCCAAGGGAAAAAGAAAGAGAGAAAGAGGAAGGAAAGAAAGAAGGAAAATGGAAGGAAGGAAGGAAAGAAAGAAAGAAAGAAGGAAAAATTATCAGTGAAGTATTTTTAAATACACAAAAGAGGACAGAAGGGGGCGTCAGAAAGACTCACAGACAGTACAATTTTGAAAGTTACATGTTGAATTTGGGATCTCTTTAAAAAGAAAAGCAAACTCTACATAATAGAGATCTGCAGTTTCATGCACAATCCCGTTTTTCTGTTCTACAATGTATTTGGAAATGCCTGTTTTATTTGAGGTTTGCTAAGTTCAGAAGAAATTTTTTTAAAAAAATTCTTCCTAGTTCTTGAAACAGTCTCAGGTTCCAAACCAGCTAATTCAATGTCAAAACCATTTCTGGCTTAACAGAGCATCTCCTGATCTTCTTTTAAGCTGTTGACTTTCAACTCCATGCAATTTAATCCCCTGAAGACATTATAAGAGCAACCATCTCGTTCAATAAACTGGAATAGACTATACAGTACATCCAAAGTAAAATGAGCAATGAGACTGGGTTCTTACCAGATAACATCGCTAGCAGGACAAGGAGACAGACTGTTTCATGCATGTTTCTTAGCTCACTGTTGTTCCAGGGGCCAGCATATTAGTGAGAAGCTGATTCCAATCTCCCAAAGCATGTCTCATTCATCTTTTTTTTTTCCCTCTTGGTCCTGCTACCAAGTAAGAAATCAAACAAAACCTCTCACTTGTATCTAAGGGAGATTCTAAACACAGCTGACTTATTGTTCTCCAGTCACCTGCTTTGGGCTGACGTACACATGGGCTGAATGGTACCTGAGTATCAGATGTGTTAGTTATCATGCAACTCTTCTCTTAAAAGGACTCTCAAAGAATTTCATTTCTCTTCTCACTCTAATGTGATAATAATAATAATGATAGCTAACATTTATAGCATTTACTATGTGCTAGGCACTACGCTATGTTTCACCATTATTGTCTCATTTGATCCTCTCAACCCTGGGAGGAGGTGCTATTATTATCCTCATTTTACAGATGAGGAAACTAAGGCAGACAGAGGTTAAGTAACTTGCCCAGGGTTACACTGCTGGTAAGTTTCTAAGGCTAAATTTGAATTCAGGACTTCCAGAGTTCAAGTTCAATGCTCTATCCACTGTGCCACCTAGCTGCTTCTGATAAGAGGGGCAGCCTGGTTTAATGGGAAAGCATAATGACAGCTTAAGAATCAAAAGACCTAGAGTCCCAGCTCTACCATTTACTATCTGTGTGGACTTAGGCACATCACTCACCTCTCTGGTCTAACTTCTAACCCTTTCTCTCTTTGACCTTCAATCTTTTCTTACCTCTTGGTTCATACCCTGCTGCTTCTCTACAAGCCCAAGTTACCCCATCCTTAAAGACCATCATGCCTTCCTTTCTCAGAAAAACTCCAGGATGAAGTTGATTACATCCCTGGCTTTTGCTTCCTCTCCCTTCAGTTGCTTCTCAATACTGAGTAATATCTAGTTTTACTCAATTGAAACTACTCACTCTGAAGTTAGCAATGATCTCTTAATTGTCACCTCAGATGGTTTTTTCTCAATCCTCAGCATCCTCAGCTCCAGACCCACAACACCAACTGCCTATTGGATATTTCAAACAGGCTGTCTCATAGACTTCTCAAACTTGATCTATCCAAAACAGAAATAACTTGCTTTCCCCCAAACCCACCCCTCTTCTAAACTTCCCTATCTCCATAGAGTATGATACCATATTTCCTATCTCCCAGATATTCAACCTCAGTGTTGTTCTTGACTCCTCACTTTCTGTCTTACTCCTCATATAAATCAATCACAAAATCTTGCCATTTCTACCTCCACAACATGTCTTCCTTCACTACTTTTTTCTCCACTCAAATAGCCACCACCTTAGCTCAAGTCCTTATCATGTCTCCCATATACCATTGTTATAATAGCCTCCTAATTGGTCTCCATGCCTCAAGCTTCTCCTGTCTCTGATCCACTCTCCACATAGCTGCCAAAGGAATATTCCTTAAGCATAGGTCTGAACAATGTCATTCCCCTGCTCATTAAATCCACGGGCTTCCTATTAACTCTAGGCTCAAAAGTAAACCCTATTTAGCATTTTAAAACCTTTGTAACCTGGTTCTTTTCCACCTTTGCCAAATCCTTCACAAAAATCTTGATAAACTTTTGCAAAAGAGACTGATGTAAGCACTGAGTACATCTGCATGTTCAACTAATGCAAATTTTCCAATTGTGATAACATTGATTAGATATTTCTTGGAGAAATTATGGAGCATGGATTGATATTTTGTAACTGGTTCTGGTCTGCTAATTGTCAGGTGTGCTAATAGGGCACTGAGGTGGCACAGTTAATAGAGTGCCAGACCTCAAGCTGGGAAGACTCATCTTCCTGAGTCCAAATCTGGCCCAGACATTTACTAGTTGCATGACCCTGGGCAAGTCACTTAATCCTGTTTGCCTCAGTTCCTCATCTGTAAAATGAACTGGAGAAGAAAATAGCAAATCACTCCAGTATCTTTGCAGGAAAACCCCAAGCAGGGTCATGAAGAATCAGACACAACTAAAATGACTGAACAACAACAAATTGTGTAGAGGAAGTGTTTTTTGATTGACTGCCTAGCTAGAATGAGGGGCACCTTCAAAAAGGAGACAGTTGGCCTCAGCCATTCTCTTTGCTCAGTCTTAGTGGGTCTTGTTGACTCTTTCACTCATGCCATCTGGTGAGAGACAATGCTTTGAGGAGAAATGCCTTATACCTTCTCCCTTCCAAGATCATTTGGCCATATGAGTTCTTTGACAACTTCAGCATTTATTTCCTTCTGTTTTAGGTGAAGTGTCTCAATATCCCAGCACCTGAGTTTTGCAACTAGCTCAATACTAATAACCCAAGAAACAAGGAGTGACCTTCTGGACCTAGCCCATAGGCGGCTGAGATAAGGGCTTGTCCAACAGCAATGCTGTATTTGGGCAGGAATTTATGTGAACTACTGCTATTTAGAAACTAAACTAATTTTGAGCCCACTCTCACCAGAGCCTGAGGTGGGAAAGGGGAGAATGTGCTCCTGAGGCGTTTGGAGGAAATATTTTATGCTTCAGTTCTTGCCATATCTTTGATATCCCTTCATAAAAGGATTGATGTAGACATCAATTTAACCACTTAAACCACTTAAGTGGCTAAATGCAACTGAAGTACAACTCAGTGATGCCTTACAGTGAGGGGAACATGGCTGGAGGGGGCTTGAGTCAAGGGTTTTAGAGAAGAGATATACATCAAAATTGCTCAGGATAGTCCAGAAACCCGAAGGGAACAAATGAGCTGGCCTCAATCTGGAAGAGTTAACCATAGCATACTTGCTAGAAGAGAAATACAGCATTGTCTCAGTCTTCTCATGTAGTCTAATTACCCTCTCAGAAAAGGAAATGTGATTAGTCTAGAATATTCTGCTCTTGCTGAAGACATACTGGCCCTTAGTTATCACTGCTTCCTGTACTTTGGTGTTCACAAACCATCCCATTAATATTTCCTTGACTTTGTCCTAGAATTAAAGTTAAGCTCAGAGACCTATATTTATCAGGCACCACTCTCAGCCTTTTTGGTTTTTAATTGGAATGACAATCAATAATGTTAGGATTTTTTTCTCTCTCTCTGTTGTCCTCTGCATTGGTCGGAGCGAGGTAGTAAACCAGATAGAGGGCCAGGCCTAGAGTTAGCAAGACTCATCATCCTGAGTCCAAATCTGGCCTAGACACTTCCTAGCTGTGTGACCCTGGGCAAGTCACTTAACCCTGTTTGCCTCAGTTTCCTCATCTGTAAAATGAGCTGGAGAAGAAAATGGCAAACCACTCTAGTATCTTTGCCAAGAAAACCCCAAAAGGGGTCATGAAGAGTCAGACGACTGAAAAACTTGCAACACTACTGAGATGACCTCCAAAATGTTTAAAGCATTATTCATCACGTTTCTATTCTCAATGCCACCACCCTAATTTAGGAACTTATTTCCTCTTTCTCATCAATTACAACAACCTTTTTAACTGATTTCATTGTTTTCATTGGCCTTTCTTTCCAAAACATCCAACATGCTGCTGCAAGATGGATCATGCCATTCCTTAACTCAAAAATATTTTTTTGTCTTCCTATTGACTCAAGTTCAAATTCCTCAGTTCAGCATTCAGGGCCCTACATGTCATGGTCCCAAACTATCTTTTCTATTTTGGCTCTTCCTCCTCCCCTAACTATAGCCTATGATCCAGCTGATTAGCCAATTCATCATTATCTACATACACTCCTCCGTGCTTCTGCTCCTATCATGTCTTCCACCTTGAGCTCTTTCACCATCTTTTCCCACTCTGCTCTTATCAAAATCCTTTCTCTTGAGAAGTGGGGCCAAGATGGCTGAGTAGAAAAAAGTACAGCAAGCAACCCCTCAGCCACGCCCATACCCCCTACAGTTTCTCCAAACAGATCTAGAAAATGCACCAGAATTAATCCTGATCAAGAAACATAAAGAAAAAAATCACAGTGAGTAATTTTGTCTATCTCAAGTCAGCCTAAGAAGAAAGACAGAGAGGTCTGCAAATACTGGGGATGGGTTTTGGTCAGTCAGTCAATAAACATTTATGAAACAACTACTATGTGCCAAACACTGTGCTAATTACTGGGGATGTGTTTGGCACAAATAAAAACAAAGACAGTCCTTGCCCTCAAGGATATTACAATCCAATGGATGAAGATAATACATAAAAAGAAACTGAAAAGGGGTCAGAGGAGAAGGTACTAGGCATGGGGGCATTATGAAGAGGTCCAAAGAAGTCCAAAAGTAGTGTAGCTACTGCATAATGGTTAGGAGTACCCTATACAGGAATGGGCAGGAGATGTTTCAGATTCAGCACAGAAGGACCTCAACTTGTGTAGGGTACAGGAACAAGTACCTACTAATAGTTCTGATGATCACTACTCAGCTCCAGGTCACAGATCTAGGGCAGGCAGGCTGAGGAGGGGACCTGTGCCTAGGCATTGTGCTCCAAGATTAGAAGCCATTGTGGGCAATAGCCTGTGTACTAAGCAAGCAGCAGCTGTGTGGCTCAGGTCCTAAGATTGGAGTAGGGTCTCGACTGCAACTTCCAAACCAGTTTGAAGTCTACAGAAGAATAACTAGGGCAAGATCTAAGACCAAAGAGAAGTCTTGGTTCTGCCACTCAGAACCAACAGAGTTTTCCAGTTGAGTCTAGCAGCAGTCTACTGGAACTCCAAATTGGACAAACCCATAGGCATATTGTTCAGACTCAAAGTCAGGTCAGGAACTTGTATAGTTCAGACTGAGGGGCAGCAATCAGATTTTGCTCTGGATTAAACTACTTTGGGAGCACTGAAAACTTGTAACTCCCCATCCTGAGATGTCCCTGAGAGCTTAGAATAACAAACACTTAATATCCTAAGAAAGAATCGACAAGATTTGGACATTTCCTTCAGAAGTGCACAACCTAACACTTATCTGAAGTTAGAAAGTAGGCTAGAAGAATGAGCACACACACAAAAAAAGAACCCCACCATAAAATGCATTATGGTGACAGGGATACTAGAAGAAGAGAATAAATTAGA